TTCATTTTTAAGATACATACTTCAACATTATATTTTATTAGAGGCTATCAAGTATTAGTATACATCAACATCAAAAGTTGTTAAAAGAAAGCTTATTTATATTAGTTGGACAATTAAGGATAAAAGAAATGATGTCAATTAGAGTGGTGAGTTTTGGCCATTTTTGATGTAGACAAATATTAGCCAAAAGATATATAAAGAGAAGTAGAGAAGGACTTACGATTTTATTAAATTTACCGGAAAATAAAATTGATAATTAGTAGTTTTTTCAATGACATTCTTTATAAGCCATTTAGTTTTTGAATTCTAATTCAAATCAATAGTATAAAGTAGAAATTCCTGGTAGAAAGTGATTGCTGTCGATTCTGTCATGAGGAGAAGGAAACATCAGAACATGTTCTATGCAACTCCCAGCGTTGGTAAGACGTAGACTTGACTATCTATAGAAGCGGGATCTTGATCTTAAATCAAATAGGTATATTTAAGCCCCCAGCAATTTCGAGATTTATAAATGTTGTGAAATTTAAAATAAGTACTCTTCATGTAACTCTTAAAAGTAAAACTCTTATACATATTCTATATTTTACATTATTGTATTGCACATTATAATATAATAAAGACAGTCGTTACTAAACAGTACAATAAATAGTCTAGAATTTTTTTAGTTGGGCATTTAGGAACACAATAGATCTTTTATGAATTTTATCTTGCATAGAATGTACCGGCATTTTATCTATCTAGGTGTATTTTAGAGTAAGAATAGGGTAGGAGTAGAAACTAATGTAGAACTTAACATTAGATTTAGGAGATTTTATATATCAAAATATTAAATTGATTTATAAAAAGTAACAGGTTTTTAGTATTCATGTTAATTGTATAACCACATAAATATTTCAAGGTTAAGTTAGATTATTATGATCAATCTAGGAATACACTTGATCTATTAGCCCATGTTTTGCAGTTGAACCGATGTCAATTAAACCCAAGTTATCTTTTAGGAAAAGATTCTACAGAACTTAACATCTGTTTTATTAATTCAATGTCTAAGATAAATAAGAGACAAGTACTTTTAAGAGTATATTTAAAGAAATTCTACATTGATCCTGAACAAGAAGAAAATCATGTAAGTAATGGACTTATGCGATTCCCATAAAGAACATTAATCAGTAATATTATTGAATATAAACTCTGAGACCAACCTGTAATTTCAACAATTTAGACGATTATTTAGGCAGTAAAGTTAAATTTACTATAGTGTCACTAAACGGTTAATGTCAATTTTAAGTAATGTGTTCCTTTATAAATTAGCTTTAAAGACTCTAATCTAGTACGAAATGCATTTTTCATATCTATGTCTGGTTTTGGGCAACCAGTTTCATCTAAACTGCCAAAAATGAGTGCTACAAAAACTTAGTTGCTATGTTTCAATTTGTTTTTGTGTTTATATTTCATTGTGAAAATTTTGAACAAATGTGTTAAAGTGTAACAAGATTCTAAGATCCTCAAACTGCTGTAATCAAAAATTTATAACAGTTTAGTCTTTAAGATACATCAAATAATATTTTGTATTAACAGAAATAACCATTTCAATATAAAATTAAAGCATTTCAATATTACACACATACTGTTAAGTGGTGTTTCTACGGGTACCTCAGTAAAAAAAATTTAAATGTCATAAAATAACGACTATTCCACAAAACAGCTACCACGACTTGCTGCTAAGAACAAAAACATATACCGGCAGTGAACCTGTCGAATATATAAACAAAAACTGAAATCTAAAGGCATAACGCAAAACAAATTAAAACTGGAAAAGGCTCCTGACATACCAAAAATATCATGAAATCGTGAATTTCCTGCCAAGCAACGTATCCGCAAAAAGGTCACGACAAAATTGACCAATGGACATAAAGAAAGGTAGCATTTGGGAACAAGCGGCCAGTCAGCTAAAAACGACACATACAAGCAATAATATCCCAACAACGACATAACATATGTTCCTACGCTTTCCTCAAATTGCATCAGGTGGCTTCAAATACTGGAAATACATTTGAAGTGTTTTAAATGCTTCAGTTTTGCTCTCAAAAACGAAACAAGGGAAAAAATTTAAAGGCATAAAATTTAAAAAAGAAAAAATAAAATTTAAAACTGACTGTTTTTGAAATCCTTGATATCTAAAATTTCTTTTGTCATAGCCAGCGCCATCGTTATAGCCACCGCCATCGACAGTGCCATCGTCAGCGCCACTGCCATCGCCATGGCTATCGCCCTCGTTGGTGTTATTGATGTTGTTAGTGTTTTTGTGTGCGTGACAAATGTCGCCATTGTAGTAGTTGTTTTCTTGTTGGGCATTAAATTGCTACATGGACACAGGAGGAACCACATTCATATCGATATGTACATATAAGAAACTAATGACTGTTAGTATAGGCACAGGTACTATCGAAAGTAATGCAATTTTTTTCTCATACGAACAGGCAATATTAGTACAAATGTGGCAGTCTACCGTAATAAAAAGGCTGTTTGCAATAATTCTTCTTCAATTTAATGTCTTTGAAGGATCACGCCATTGTGCAGGATGAAAGAAATGCCGTTACAGGTATTTTATTTGCTTCAATTACAACTGACGAAACCAAATTTTTGTTTTAATTCGATATCTTAAATTACCTTGAATAAAACTTTAAACTTAAATGGAAAGCACAGACTATTTAGGTGCTTATCAGAAAACTAACATACTTGATTCTTGATTCTTCTTCTTCTTGAGTTAGTGCTATTACGCACTTTTACTCTATAATGGCTGGGAGGCTTATCTCTACCCGACACTAGGCTTTAACTAGGTTAAAAAAAATCATATCATTTATTTGTCTTTTAGTTGATGACGGACCTTAAATCAGCATATCTTCCTGAGAGTCCAGAATTGGACTTGAGGATTGTTAGGGCGGGGTTAATTAACGTATCAACTTTAGTGAATAATTTTAGAGCTCTGTCTCTGATATATTTTTTCACTGAGTCAACATAACGTTTATAAATAATTTTATAATATAAAGCTCAAATATTATATGAAAACTGTCAAAAAAATATCATTATTATTTTATTTACCCTTAACTTATAAGTGACCAGCCACAAATGTCAATCATGGAAATGAATTCTTAACTAAAAAATATTCTCGAAAACAAAATCTGAAACTACTATCACAAAAAACCACAATACGGAAGCACCCACATAAGTGTGTCCTTATTTTCTCAATAAGAGTATCAAACTTTTTTTTCGTTTGGATTCCAAAAATACTAGCACAGAGTTTGCTGCAACTTTGACATCAATTTTCGTAGTGTTGTAGTTCTGAGTCTCGGTATGTTTGTGTCAGAAAATGATTCTCAAATTGCATTACCAAAAAAAACTTAAAGGCTTGAAGCACTTGAGTGCATAAGAAAAAAAATATTGTTAAAAAAAATTCTTTTCGAAAAAAAACTGGTTCAAATAACCAAAATTCTTCCTACTTGGCACTTGACAAACTTATTGACGTGAAGGATTTCCATTAGGATCATCGTTAAATGGCGCTCCATGCAGAAAATGTTTTTATATTGCTGAAGCATTCATTGCAAGGCGAAAATTCAATTTTCTGTTAAGGAATTCAAAAATAGACTCAAGTAAAATATTTTTTATTGTCGTAGTTTTTATTTGTTTAGCCTGTAGCAAATTTTATTGTCACTTGCTTGAATGAACTTGTTACTATAGTCTATGGAACTAGTAGTAGTGTTCACAAGTAGTTTTGTTATAATTTGAAGAAATTTTAATTAATATTTGGCAAAGGAATTTTTTTTCAGATTAAAACAAAAATAGTTTCATTATAGATAATTAAAATAAATAAAAAATCACACTAACAAAAAATGAACACTAAACTAGAATATTTTATAACGTAAATGGTAATAAGTAGAGAATTCTGAGGACTAGACCTTATTACACCAGTTCATAAAAAGTGTAGAAAAGTTTTAAAAAAACAATTATTCATAACACAGAGTTATATTAAATTATCTTTTTATTCAATTTTTCAACGATTTTAGACTAATTTAACTCTTGTTAATCTTAAATATGCAATCCGTTTTTTTCTATATATCTGGGCTTTCGGCAATAATGTGAAAAAGTTTGAAAATTGTTGGTTAAATTGTTGGTTATTATCTCTTTTTTGAGAGATAATATAGGGAATTCTAGACAGAAATTCTAGGGCAGAATTCAATTTATAAAATGTATTTTTACGGTTATATTGTTGTTTATAAATATTAAGTTTCTTTTTACTGTTAAGAAGAGGGATTTTTCAAAATATTTTTAATTTTTTTTGCTATAGGTTAATATTAAGAAAAATCTATTTTTAAGAAGAAATAAATAATAAGCAAGAATACCAAAGGCGAAAAAAAACGCCAAAAAATATATCAAGTGATGATCAGTTCAGTTTTTAAAAATGTTTAATTTTTCGTCTATTTTTTTTTTGTATTCGTCAATGTTGGGGTGAAATTCTTAGCTCCCGATTTTCACGGGTAATAACTGGAATCTGTTCTTAAATCAGTCTTAAGTTGTACTTTTAGTGAGGCAAAATCTCACACTTTAGTTTTTGATGATTTATCACATGTCGTCAAAACTAAAAAAAATAGAACTTCTTATATGAGACCGAAGTTGACAACATTATTATTACTGCCAACTTAACTGACATTATTAACCCTACAGTGCACTTTTTAAACACCTGAGTCAATTCCAAAGAATGTGAGAATAAAAAAATACAACTTAAACTTAAAATTCTAGAAGTTGTCAAGAAAATGATTGTTATGATTTCTCCTTTTCAAAATGGGAAACAACAAAAGAAAAAGAAAAATAAGAAGGAAAAAAAGAAAAGAAGGAAAAGAGTACTTTTGTTTCTAACCCCGTTTTCGATTAATAAATTTGAAACAACTTCTTCAATAGAGATTCACTCTTAATGCGTTTTCGATTGGTGAATCTGGGGTCATTTTTCAATCGAAATGCTCTATTAATGCAGTTTTAGTGCAATTTTCATTTTCGATTGGTAAATCTGTATAACAGTCGAGATTAATGTATAACACTCGAGATTAATTTATAACACTCTATATATTTTGCCAGAGTAGCAAAATTTTCCTGCCGTTTTGAGTAACAAATCTGGGACAACTTTTTCAATCGAAATTCACTCTTAATGCGTTTTTGATGGGTGAATCTGGGGTAATTTTTAAATCGAAATGCACTTTTAGCGCAATTTTCATTTTCGTTTGGTGAATTTGTATAACAATCGAGTTTAATGTATAACACTCGAGATTAATTTATAACACTCTATATATTTTGCCAGAGTAGCAAAAATTTCCTGAAATAGCTGTTTTATATTATTTGACAGATAAACTGTGATTTGATTCAATATATGTATTTGTAAAAAATACAAATGTCTACTAACACTACTAAGAAAATGTTAGATTACTCGATTGAGTGTTCAAAAATTTCAGAGATCGAGAGTGAATCTAGATTGAATCCACATTTGAATCCAGTTTATGTAGATTGTTATGAATCTTATTGCAGCTGAAAGGTTCATGTGTTCAACTTATTTTATTTTTATTTTATAATTTCATTAAAAGATAAATATACTTTTTCAATGAATTAAATATTTTTTATATTTAAACAAAATGTTCATTTGGTTTATTTAGGGAACCTTGTACTAGTTTGAAAATTCCTCAGTGAAATTACATACGAGTACAAGCCATTAAATAATTGAATAAATTGAAAATTGTTTCGAAGTATTGTATCAAAACTGAAATTTAATTATTTATACAAAACTAATATAATTTTAATAACGAAAGTACATGTGCAGACGTTCGCACACCCCAGACCTGCAAGCGAGGGGAATATGCGTTGAATTTTCACCGAAATGAAAATGCAGTATTAATGTTGGAGTAACATTTTGCTTTCTACAAAAACTAATTATCCACAGTGCGACGTGATTGTTCGACGGAAGCGCACATTTGAATTATGACGATTCAACATTTCCTTAATGAGTTGCACTTTCAGTGGCAATTGCTCAATGTGCCAGAACGATGTGCGCGTTTGTGTGCTGCTTTTATTTGCGACACTTTATTGCACTGTGCAAATTTGCATTCACTTACAAACTCATGCATTTGTTGACTAAAAAATTAGCACAAACTTTGTCATATAAATGGGAATGAACGTGTATGGAAACGCTCATTTCATATTCTAGTCAGGAAGTGAGAATATTTGATGTCTGTCTGTCATGTCAATTTGTTATTAGCGGTGCCTTGGCACTTATGCACTCATCTAAATATCTATATAGGAGTACGTGCAATTTGTGTAGTATTTATTTATATATTGTCATATATGTGTACAAATTAATTATTATGGCAATTTGATCCGTAATTATGGCAAACACTTTAAAGTTCTAGTTCGGTCGCTATGGTTTGTCCATTTTAAATTGTTGGTTGATTGACATAGCAGCTTAAAGGACTTACCTGACACTAACAGCTCACTTGTGCTATTTACCAAATTGTCCATAATTGGCTGAAATGTATAAAATGTCAAAGTTTCCAAGTCATTATTTTGTACGTTGATTGACAGCAAAGCCGGCGTACCGCGTAATAATCCGTTGTCTATTTTCTTCAGGAGATTATTACGCAAGTTAAGGGTTTTTAGATTATTTAAACCATCAAGTGCACGCTCTGAAATACGCTGTAAATAAATAACAAATTAATTTAAATTGGTTTTAGGCCGTTTTAAAATTAGTTTATTTCTGTGTTTCTGAAAAAACTAAAGTGTAATTTGAATTTAATAGATATTATACATTTTTCTTTAAGTTAGAATTGTTTTGTATTAAGTTTAATACCGATTATGATGAAAAAACTATTTTCTTAATAGAAACTGTTTTTAAATGGTAACGTTTTCCGAACAGTCTATTAAGCAAATCATAGAGTAAAATTAGCATAACTTCTATTATGTTACTATTTATGAATTTATAGATAAGAAAGAATAATATAAAAATATAAAATAAACAATGTACCTACAAAAAAAGTAGTATTCATATATAATATTTAAAGAACTGTAGTTTAGTTGATCTATACAGAAAGCAAATTTGATAATGATTTTTCACAGTAAACTCACAAAACTCTAAGTAAGAAAAATTCAAGTCAAACTCGGCTGTGGGTGGTTAGTTCATCAACTCTGATTCTGAATTTTAAATTTGACAGGGTACGAGTTCAACCCTTGTTACTTGTAGTCTAAATAGTTATTTAAAATTAATTAAATATTAAAAATATTTTCAGAAAAGATTACTGATGTTGGCTATTTGACTGTACTTAAAACAGCAGAATGCCATCCAAAAATTCCATTAATTGAAAAATATGAATTTTGTTGTTGAAATTCACTACTGTTTAAAAAAATGTTTCTAAAATTATCTTGTAATTATTATGTTGAAACTGTTTGAGCCAGTGCACTTAAGCACTTTTACTCTTTCTTAACTCGTGGAATTTTCAAAACCCCTCTTTACACCTTGACTAGATTATTGTTTATCACTTTATCAGACTTAGTAATAATTGACGTCAGATCTACATACCTCCCCGGGGAGCCTGTAACCATTTTTAGATTTGATAACGCGGTGTTGGTAAGTTTGTCAGTTTTCGCAAATAATTTCAGGGCTCTATCTTTTATGTATTTTTTGATGGGATCAATCTTG